CAAGCTAAAGCTAACATTAGCACGCCAACAGGTGAACTAAATTAGCTTTGCTCCATTCTTGAACCACGCAAGAATGAACCAATCAAATGCTGGAGAATTTCCTCTCCTCTGCAGTTTTATGGTGTATTTTTCAGTTGAAGGTTTTAATGAGTAACTCTTTTGTTCAGAGAAATCCTCTGATGGTCTGGATTTCCTGTCCACAGCCTCCAGGCATCAAAAATGCAGAATTACTGCAGGGTTTTGTACCTTGTAGTAAATATTTTTGCCCTGCGGCGCGCGGCCAGTGTCCAGGATGTAGTCGTAGTTACGGTGGTCGATGATGAGTACCCCACCGGGTCGTACCATACTGGCAATGTTGTGGAGAGCCAGCTTCTGATCACTCTGGTCCCCTAGGAGGAACCAAACATCACAGCGTCAGACGGGCTTCAGCAGCCACTGTTTCCAGCTTGGCCTCCAATTAATGACATTTTAGATCCAGACCTAGAATCATAAAAACAGTCAGATAACTGTTATTAATTTTGCTCAGAGCAGCAGCGTCTTCGTCTGGTTCAGTCTGATCATCTGCCTGCACTCAGAAAGTGATCAAAAACTCAGAGAAGCTCAGGTAGTTAAACGGACGCCCACTCATGACCAAAAGGTCGAAGGTCAGACAGATCTTGAGGAAACCGGCCTGATCCACCAGGACTGAACCAGAACCTGACGGAGATGTTCTGTCCAAACCTTTAAAGTCTGGCAGGTGGGCGAAGGAGTTCCCGAGGCAGATGACTGCGTCGTAGCCATCTCCAGGTTTCTGGATGTCTTCAGGTAACGTCAGCCAGTTGGCTTCTTCGATCACTGCGGGTCAAGCAGCAGAACATGAGAACCTGTGCAAAGATGGCCGTCAGTAGCAGAACCGTCTGGGTTCCTACCCCACTGATCGAACGCCGCCTCCTTCCTGCGGTCCCAGCGGGTCTTCAGAGCGTACTTCAGCATCTTGTCGCTGGCGTCCACACTGACCATCTGGAAGCCCTCCTCCACCAGCATGATGGAGTCCACCCTGCAGAACAACGGCAAACATCTAAATACAGCCAGGAAGCCTGATCTCTATGGAAACGGCTTAATCTGCCTGCTTCAGCCATTATCATCACCATGGTCCAACTCAGAGAGCATCTTTGAAATGATGATCATTCGACTGGCGTGGAAAAGGACATCAGCTGCAGTGGGGGAGGAAGGGAGGACGGGAAGAGGGGAGGAAAGGAGGAAGGGAGGAAAGGAGGAAGGGAGGAAAGGAGGAAAGGAGGAAGGGAGGAAAGGAGGAA